TGACGGCGACGAGGGTAAGCATGGCGAGCCCGGATCGCCACCAAAGGACAAGAAGGGCAAGGGCAAAGAGAAGGAAAAGCAGCAGGACTTTGACGAGCTCGAGGCTTCATTACGACGCTTCGTCCTGGAAAAGAGGGCCCGATCGAAGCTTGCGCCAGCCAAAACTTACCTGATGAACGTATTGGGTGACTTGGGCACTCTTGCCAGTGTGAACAAAGATGTTGCACAGAACGAGTACGACCGCGTCACCAAGGAGCTGCAAGATCTCGAGCCCGTCTTTGAAAAGTCCAAGAAAGCGCGTTCTCAAGCAGACGAAGATGTTGCCACGCAGATTGAGACCACTGGGCAAGAAGTGTATGATCTCACCCGCGGCAGATACAACAAAGACGACAACGTCAATCTCTTCCTGTCGTGCAAAGACAGCAGTGGTCTTGAGAGAGTCGTTGTTGAGGCCGGGTGCATCAATGAGCGCGATGTCAACGACGCCGTTGTTCAGTAATGATTGATCAACTGGCCGAATGTCCCTGATGTAGACTTTGCATTGTGACCATCGCTCTCCATCAATGACGATGTCTTCGAGTTGCTTTAGAGGGTAGACCTGATATGTGCTTTCGTCGTTTCGGTTGTAGACAAAGCCGTGTGGGATTGCGTGAACCTCTTCGACTCCAGTATTCTCGCGCGCGTCCAGAACCTCACAGAATATGCTTGTGCATGGCTGTTGGTCCTCGGGCAGGATCTTGCGGCGGAGCAGGGCGTTGCAGAAGGTGGACTTTCCAGCGTTAAGATCACCAGTGACCAAGACTTTACTTGATGTGTCCTCGATGCGCTCACGGAGAGAGAAGAGATGACGAATGCTGTTGTTGATCTGGTTGTCCAGGAGTGATGCGACCGAGTTCTTTTCCAAAGAGTGCACGATCTCGGTTTGTGGCAAGCCCTCCATCTTGAGTTCAATCTTCAGGACCGAGAACTGCTGCGCGAGCTGTGGAGTGACCAGGCGCGGCTCGACTCTAGTCTCCCGTTTTGTAGCATCACCACTTGATTCGGCAGAGTGGCTCTCTGCGAGGGAAGTGTTCGCTCTCCTCATCATTCCAGGTCGCGGCAGATCTTCAAGATCGCGGGTGCTCTCTTCAACGCCTCGCTGGTTGTCCATAGTAGACTGGGTGTGTACCAGACCGGGTCGGGGCATGGCTCGGTTTGCTGGCGGCGAAGGTGGTCGTTGTACGGTAGGGTAGTGTGCCGGCCATTTGGTGTTGATCTCCTGCAGCTTCTTCATTGTCTCCACCGTCTGGTTGATCGCCCGTCCCAGCGCAGTGCGGTTCTGGTTGTAGAACAATTGGTGGACATGGCTAGCGAGTGCCTTTCTCTCGTGCTCCGATGCGTTGCTGTCTCCTGCTCCCATGGGAGTGTGCGCCGGTGTGAAGCGATCCTGCGATGGGCCAGGATGCCACGCGTTTTCATCTCCCGTCATACTGCCGCCGTATCCAGAGTCTTCGTCGAGGATCGCCTGCAATCTCGCCGCGCTTTCAGATGTCGAGCCGGATCCCACGGTCATGTATTGAGGTCGGCCGCCTGCGCCACGAGAAGAAGAAGATCCGCTGGCACCAGGGCTGGCGCTACCGCTGCCGAAAGGGTTGTCGGCGCTCATGTTGATGGTGGATGATTGTCGAATGGGTTAATTCATCGTACGTGGGAGAAGTGTGGCGAGTCGCAAGAATGTGGTGTGGTGTATGCGGTAATCATCCAGTAGGAACGGGCTAGGATTGCAAGACTGGCCGACGCGGAATTCTCCGCAGATGATGATGATTTCCGGGGCCGGGTCTTGCCGTGAACAAGATCCACCTTGTTCTGTTGCCGATGGCAGCTGCCTTCCCGCTGAAGGCCACGAGCAATCACAAGATAAGGCTGACTGCATATACACAAACATTGATCTACCTCAAACTGAACCACCTTCGCAATTGTCGTCGCAGTCGCTCGCTTCATTTGCCCCTCAACACCTGATCTGCCAACACCCAAAAGAGGCTGCTGCCATTGAGCAACACAGCTATCAACCATGAATGTATGCGCTGCAACACTAGGCCTTTGGGAGACA